TCAAGTTGAAAGAACTTTCGTCGATTTCGGCACTCAAGTTGAAAGAACTTTCGTTGATTTCGGCACTCAAGTTGAAAGAACTTTCGTCGATTTCGGCACTCAAGTTGAAAGAACTTTCGTCGATTTCAGCACTCAGGTTGATTTACTTGAAAAAAAAGCTTGCGCCGATTTTGGATCTCAAGTATCCTTTTTACATCCAATGTGTGAAATTCTTCAAAGAAGAATTGATGAGTTAAAAAAAAATAATGAGCAATTATTAAGTGAAAATGAGGCATTAAAAAAAAAGTTAAGCGAAAGATTTACTAACCAACAAGATCGCATTCATTCTATAATAGAAATCGCCAAAAAAGAACGAAGTAATTTGTATGATGACATCATGAATTTAATGAAAAATCAAGAACGGTTTTGTTTAGATAGTCTTTTAGAGTATTCTCCTTCCAAATGGTTTGCCGAACGGAATCCGGTCATCGTAAAGTTTATAGAAACCCTTACACATAACGATGGTGAACATCAGCACGGAGAAGAAAAGCTTTTCAAGTGTGTAGTGGCAATTGATGCCATATATGGGTCAAGGCACTTAAAATATATGTCGGCTATTAACTTGGCTACTTCGGCAATTAAGTATTCGTTAGCAAGATCTAAAATGATCGTTGACATTGACAACCATATTATTAGCTCTAGTAGTTATACTAAGTTTAATAATTGGTTAGAAAGTTTAGCTGGAGAACAACTACGGCTCCCTGAAGGTTTTTTGTTTTTGGCCTTTGATAACGAACAGAAAGGTCAAAAAAATTACCTGGATCGTGGGTATAATACGGTCATATTTCATACGGTTACGAGTTTCGTTGCATTTAATTATAGCCAAAGTAATAATATTCAGAATGAAAATCCTTGGCTATATACTGAACTTGATGAAAAGCAATATGAAGCATTATTTCATTTATCTTCAGGTATGAATAGTGAAATTAATGTGGAACTTACTAATTATCTTTCTTCTATTTTAGATGAACTTTGCATTGAGAAAAATCAAGACACAGATACAATCGACGAATTGGTTCATCATCAAAGCCAAATAGGACATATGAAAAAATGTC